TCTGTTATTTGATATTCTAATCCATTAGGCTTGATATGTACAGACTGTTATCCTCTGCAGAATGCATTAAGAACCTCGAACGAGTCTTCTACAATCGTCAATCATCCTTCTTCGATCTTCAATCTTCGATCTTCAGTGTTCTACGATGAGGAGTGATTAGACAAATCTGCAAATTGATGTTCTCATTCATTGGCTTCGGTACACCAGTTATCCACTGCAGAATAGGCTGAGTTTAACTCTACAGAGATTTGATATCTGTTTATTATTAAGAAAATAAGACGAATCCTCTGGAATTCCTCGCGCTGGATTCATAGCTAATCACCTCCATATTGAGAGACGATCAGGTATGCAGAAAAGAAGAGTCTCGCTACCAGTTCACCTATGGTCGTCTCGCAAACCGACCACCGTCCACGGTGTCGACTATCCTAATCACGCTTGCAAGGCTCAGCTCGTCGATGCTAATGCGTCTTGCTCGCTGGAAGGAACACAGACGCGAAGGTGGTTTCGAGCGCCTCGCGACCCGCCAGGGCGTAACCGATCGTCCTGGTCATTAGAAGCATACGCCCTTACATGCAGGACGGTAATGAATACATAGATCCACCAGGGGTTGAACGCTCAGACGACAAGGACCACGGGCGACCTCTTTCAACATGTGTTCTTTCTTCTTCGGGATGAAGGAGTATGTCGCAAATATTCTGAGCGATCTTAAACAGGTCTTCTAGATTTAAAATGATAAAAAGACCAATATCTTGATGAATTTTTTCTCCTAACACAAATTAATAGTGACCACGTCGAGCTTTGCATCTAGGCGTGTTCCAAGGAAAATATTAATTTTTTCAACAAAGTCAATTTATTGTAGAAATATGTAGAACCAAAATGCTCTAACGTTCTTCAGGATGAAGGAGTATGTCGCAAATATTCTGAGCGATCTTAAACAGGTCTTCTAGGTTTAGAATGATAAAAAGAGCCATTCCTTGATGAATTTTTTCTCCTAACACAAATTAATGGTAACCACTTCGAACTTTGCATCTACGTATATTCCAAGGAAGATTCTAATTTTTTCAACAAATTTATTATAGAAATATGTAGAACCAAAGTGCTCGAAAATTCTCCAGGTGTCCATCTTAAATTCCCTCGATTCAGAAGCAAAGAATCGCATAGTCGTTTCCCGCTTCTTTAATTCCCGAAGAAGAGCCTCTACTCACGTCGATTACCACGGAATTTGTAGGCTATTCGGGCCCAAGTGCCGCGACAGTCTCCAGATAAGCATTCGGTGAATATTTTGATTTACGAAATAATATTGTTTAGCCGACGGATCTTTTTATCCCGCAATGTGGAAACATTTTATACCTCGCTCCCCAATATTAAGGAATGGAATTATCATTCGAGAAAGTATTCGTCGAGTCTCGCAGTACGACTCGAGTAAACAGTAAAACGCTTGGGATAAAAACGCGCGAGGGATCGCAGTCCTCGCGAGTGACGATCGAGGGAATAACCGATGTCGAGCTGGTGTTTTCATGGGAGTGGAACAGCTTAATATCTGTCAACGAAAAGAAACTGAATGTAAATCCGTGCTGAGATACACCAATGAGAATCGCCAGCGAAGGAGACGAAGGCAAACGAACGGGAATCGCTGAAATCGAGGATCACGCGGTCACGATCGGCCCCGAAAACGTTGCTTTTCGCTAAAGAATTCTTTTTCGCAGGAGCAGGAAGCGAAGCGTCGCTGCCTTGGGAACGTTGCGTGCGATTACTTCTGTTGAGAATCCTTTCTGTTGCCTCTTCGAGTTAGCGTGGATTAGATAGCCGTTTCGTGTTTTAGTATTTGTTAATCGTTTTCGTGCTCCGATAGTTCCGTGTCGGAGTCGGAATATGGCTCCTTGTAAAGAGGCGTATGCAAAAATCGAGTCAACGACTGCCAATTGTCGGAAGTGAACGCACTTACATAGTAGCGATAATGAATACATACCGCTTCGAGGGATAATAATTTAGCGCTGAATATACGAGCCGCGAAAATTGCTGAGAAGAAACGCGTTGAAGATGATTCTGCCATTTACCGCGAACCGTCTGTTAAACGATCAATTCCCATTTCGATGCCCTTTCGAGTTGCTCGTTCGATTGTTTACCGCTATCTCCCGAGACGAGAATTAAACGCTGGATTTTAGAAAATTGACATTTGCAGGGGAAAAATTAACGAAAATTCTTGGTTACATCGTTACAGAAACTTTTATCCTTCTTCTATGACACATGAATTTTTTTGGATTTTCTGTCATCGATCCCGAATTTAAATTAAATTTTCCCAAGGAGTTGGAGATCGATCACTTTTCTGAAGTGAACAATCGACGTACGTCGAGACTAATTTAGTTTGAAGTTGCTTCACGTAAGGAGCGGAGGAGCAAAGGATGAAGAGGCGAAGAAAATCTCCTTCGTCGCCTCGGATAAAGCGGTTTTCGAAAACGAGATACCCTAATGGTCGCGCGAGGCGAGGGAAAAAGGGAAGAGGTCAAGGAAAGGCTGGTCGGGGTCCGAAGGATGCCGTGGAGCCATCAAGGATATCGGTGACGGTCGCTGGCGGCGGATCAAGGAAAGGATGTCACGGTATCGCCAGATAAGTATCGATAGGTCCTTGCCGAAGGAAGAAAGCAGAGGATAAATTCTTGCCGCAGACAGGCGAAAGTCTCGAGAAAAACTCGGTGTCGAACATGCTGTCCAATCCAACTCGCAGACCAGAATAAAGTGTCCGTTGAAAATATTACCGTCGACGAATTTCATAAACGCGACGTCTCTATAGCGAGCTAATTGTCTGCGAATTTGAAGTAGGTTGTTCACAAGCGTCTCGGATTGGATAAGCATATATGGAGCTTTGACTATTGTAAGACTGATTTTTTTCAAAATATTTTATGTGATAATATAGGAAGAATTGCGCAAAAACGTGATTTTCAAGTCGAGATATAGGCTTGAAACTTGACACATGTTTTTGTTTTTGATAAGTTATCGTAAGTCGAATTTAGGGCCACATTGGAACCCTTTATCTGGCTAGAATTTTTAATAAAGATAATAAATTCACAAAGAGGAAGATAAAACCTCATTTTTCTCGCAGATTCAGCATGATTAATTAAGATAAATAACACACCCTCTGTGCAGCAACTCCTCCCTCGAAAATCTAATGGAAAATTTACGTGGTCGCGTATGGTAGCCCGTTAATCGCGAAAGCGCGCAGAATATGGTGTCCTGAGATTTATTTACGATATTTACCAGCTGTATAGCGGTGACATCAATGCCCAGATCTCTGGATCGCCTTTGGATCCAGGTATACAACGCGCGCTCCTCTCCCCTCCTGCTCTTCCCTTTTTTTTCCCTGCCTTCCAGGTCGTGTAGATCTTTTGAAAGGTCCGCACTTAATAGACCCCGGGGACCCTGGCGACTTGTTTGGACGTTTGCGGTATAAACAGAGCGACACCTGGTGATCTATGCACTCGCCTAGTCGGGATGAAACGAGCCGCGAAAGTCGAAGAGTTTTCGGTATTCAGGGTGGCCCTGACTCCGTGCCACAATGCTCTCGGGTCGCGCGACGCTCAAGGACGCGGAAAAGTCGCCTTTTTTGGGTCGCCACCAGCTGAAATCGATAGTTCGAGCCAATACTCGATGCTCCAGGTAGAATTGGGTAACCAGGAATGGCGTTAGGTTTGGATGGAGAATAGGGGAAATAATTAAAAAAATATAGGGGTGATTTTTGGGGAATTAAAGGGGATCGAAAGAGTTGCAATTTATATTGCAAGGTTTGAGTCGTTACAAAATAAGAATTAACCAATGTTAACCCCTTGACTTACACGATATCATTCGATTGCTCGGGCCATGGTAAACAGGAAAATAGGAAATCTTAAAAACAAGCAGCTTATATCAGCAACAAAAATTTCAATAGGCCCGTTTCCTAACTTTAGAAACCAAAGGATCCCTTAACCCCTGACAACCTCCACCCCTCAGTGAGTCTACATATCACAAATAAACAATCGGATGAAGAAACTATCGCCTCGAATAGCTCCACGCAAGAGGCTGTCCCCAAGGGAATCACGATATCGTCCCCTTGGAAAACTGAAAATAATTGGAGATAGCCAGGCGAGGATCGTTTCCCTTACGCGACGGAGCGCCGCTGGAGCGCGCGCACGGTCGCGCAACTAAAGTAAGCTATTAAATTCTTCAAATAAGCCGCCACGTATGAACGTGATCGCCAATTAGGCAACGGTGGTCGGCTTTTATGTAGACGAGATTATTCGAAATCGGTAAGAACGGTGATACGTAAGGAGGACGCGCGTCTCAGAAAAGGAGATGACCGATCGCGCTGGCATTCCGCCCTTCCTTTTTCGGTCGCCACGGCGATTTTTCCTCACTCCGCGGACCTTTTTTCCCTGGCTAGCAGCGACACAATTGGGAGCGCTTTATATATAGTTGCGTGTCCTGCATAACATTAAGAACATAACGCGTTTTATGGCACGACCACCCAGGATGCGCGTTCTCTCGGTGGACACCGCGCGGCAGGCATAAACGCTCCGGATGATTGCTCGCAAGAAATCCTACCTATTGACGATTCTATATGACGACTCGTATTTACGACGGTGTCGTAAATTGCGCGTTGACCCCGATTAAGTGAATTAATACCGCGCCCGAGCGCTTCTTTCGCTTGTGTTCTCGAGGAAGGAGGAAGCGAGAGCATCGCGAGGTGGTGAGGTGTGTGCTCTTGGAGGACCGTTCGCATCAACTCTCTTGCACCGACAAATCTTAGCATAGTGTCACAAATAGTTGAACCTCGATTAATTAAATTATTAAAAAATATAGAGACTAAAGGTGAATGATGATTCTGAGAGGAGGTAAGGGGTGTGCGTTCTTGGAGGACTGTTTCTACGAAATCTCTTGCACCGACAAATCTTAGTTGGCATAAATAGTTGAACCTCTATTAACTAAATTATTAAGAAATATTAAGCCCAAAGACAGTAAGGTGAACGATGGTTCTGAGAGGTGGTAAGGGGTGAGTATCACGTGTCGATGATGCTTGAGCTGAATCTACAGAAAAATTAAAAACAGTATTATGTGTATATCACTATATCATAGATGAGTAAAAAGTACAAACATATACAAATCTTCCTTCCTTAAAAGTTGCATTTTCTTGTCTATCTACTCAACATAAATGTAACATTTACAAGGAACATGCTATTGACTGAATAGTCTTTGTTAGAGGATCCACCTCAACCACTGCAGGAGGTGAAACGCATAATATGATTGAAATTAAGGGAGTTTTGCGTGGAGTGTTCGAATAGTCACGGTGTACGCGATGCGCGAGACTCCTCGCCTAGAATTGCGGCTGTTATCTATTCCGTTAACGTCGCGTTCCCCGCGGCGACCACCCAAGGTGTCCGTTTCAGTATCGCGCGAGTGACGTTGGACGTTTCTTAAGGTTTTCGCGTATCATGAATGGCGTTGACAATCGTCCAACGACAGATATACGTCCGCGACGAGGGAACGAGCGAGATGGAGATAGACGGACGGCGCTGAGACTCTCGGATGTAACCGTAGGAGGTCCTCCATTTCCATTCACAGCGGTCCTGAGGATCTTGTCCTGGGAAAGCCATAAAAGGTGATCAAGTCGCGCTGATCCACGGACATCGACTGTGGCACGTACGTCGAAAAGATGAAAAAAATTCGCCGACTCGCCCTGTCCCCTGAAACGTGTTTTTTTTCGATCCATCGAGGGGTCAGGGGTAAACAATTATCCGAGTGCTATGAAAAATCACCCCGAGTTTCTCTAATTGCGAGGATCTTTGAGAGTTGCTTCTACCAGAAATTTCCTTCCAGAAACTTTGATAAGCCACGACACGTAACATTTGGTGGCTGATAAATTAATAAAAATCGAACTCCGTGCCCTTCGATTAATAACTTCGGTGCCACACGATCCTAATCGTACAACCGAATGATGAAGCCCATTGAAAACATCTCACCGTAAATCTTCATCGAATCGATTGTCTGGAACTGGTGGTCAAGCGTGTCGAGCGCGAGACCCACCCTCGAAATTGGATCATTCACTTGCAAAACAGGCCTCCGAGGACCCCTTCGACTCGATTTTTCAGTGTTCCACACTTCGTCCTGTATTTTTTCCGAACTACGGATTTCAGTGGACCGTGAAAATCGTCACAGTTATCGGGACCACGAATTTCCATTTGAAGCGACACGGGAATTTCCCTGTCCTTTTCACACGAGCGCGACAGGAACTCTTAACGAAAGGGGAAACGAATTAAACATATTTGGGTGGTCTTTGTAGCTGTGGTAGGTAAAGTAAATTTCCAGGGAACAGACTTGGAGATATGTTACGTCATTTAAGTTTAAATTAAATCAAATTTCGTTCTTTTCGGCGGAGCTTGTTTTACATTAGACCATTCTCCACGGAAATACAGTCAGTCCCATAAATATTCGTACCTTCTATGCCTATTGAAGAAATTTGTTTAAATTAAATGGTAGGAACAATGTTTTCAAGTGTATGTTTGTACAAATATATTTTATTCTTTTGGAAAAATTCATTTGGAAATATTATAACTATTATTTCATAGACATAGAGGGCACGAATATTTATGGTATTGATCGTATCTTCGAAACCTCTTTTTTCGATTCTTTCTCTACTTAAATAAATTTTTATTGCAATCAACCAGCGAAACAACCTTTTCCATCGCGCAAATTTTCTCTTCGCAGATCAAATCCAAAACCGTACCCTCCTCCATCGCCATAAATCTTCCCCGAACGGATTGTTTGCAAACGTTGCGTGATCTGAAAGGAGGAAGCAGAGATTCCAAGGGGTTTGCGACACGGGGATGACTCGAGCTTTAACAGGGGTGCTTAGAATTCGGCACAAGCGCAAAGACGTAGGCGTCTAGGACCATTTGTCGCGATACGGGAGATCGCTGTGATCTCCCGGCGCGGTTGACAGGTACGGAACAGGTAAATGCGCCGCGGGATTCCCTTTTGCCGCGTTTTCACGTACCGACACGGAAACCCCAGGGACAAAGGGCCGCGGGGAGGCTCAAAGACCCCGAAGCGGGCCGCAAAGTCAAAATAAAGTAATTGTTGCCCTTTTGTCGTGGTCCTCTTGCATCCACCTACCGACGTGTATTCTTGCCTCGTGTTTCTTTTCGGGGGAGAGTGTCGCGAAATCGAGAAAGCCTGATTTTTAGCGATTTCTGGGTTGTGAAATACGATTAGAATACTTTGGGCCATGTATCGAAGGTCTGGCCCTAAATAAGAATTATTAATCAAGTAAGTGTGTGAGTTCCGATACCTTTTTTCTGCACTCTGACTAAGGTTTAAGTCCCTCACGATCTTTCCTTGACATTTCAACGTCACTGGCTTCACAAACTCTCACGCTGTATTCTCAAACAAGAGAAATAACCGAGGAAAACGCGTTCTTTCGAAAAATCTTTGACGCTATTGAAATTATGTAGGAGTTTCACCCTGCTTTGCACTTGAATGACCCAATTTCGGCTTCCATTCCCCCTTAAAGTGTCGATCTTGCGAGGAAAGCGATCCCCTGTCTTTGTGGCGGATGGGCGCCTCCGTTGCAAATGAATGGGGAAAGCACAGTTCTGCTCGACGACTCTGATTTTCCGCGGCGACAATCTCGTTGACTTTTTGTCACGTTTCCACGTTGCGGCTCGAACCGCTTCTAAGCTTCTCGTAATGCAATTATGCGGGTCTACGAGTCGTTCCGTGGCACCTCGAATTTTTGGGAGGGATTCAAAAGCACGCGTTATGGTAAACGAGCCGTTTAAAAGTCGCTTCCCCGTGCGATTCGATTGGTTTTTGTGTTCCTTGAAAGGAGATCTCCCGGGGGCGTCCATTGTGCTCTAATTTGACTATTCTAGACACTGCTGGGCGAGCTTCTAAGCCACAACAATACAATTTTCATTGGGTCATGGTCGTTTTTAGGTTAATATATTAGACGGTGGGTGGCACTTGTTTAGAAATGTAGAATTTTTAATTAGTAAAAGACACCAGTTTCTAGTATTCGTTGCAGGCTGTTTAGGGGTGGTTTGTTACGCCAAATCAGTTTTATATTATATTAGACTGTATTAATGATTGATTTAAGGGAGTGGACTCCCGTGCCTTGTATGTGCCCGTACGCACTCACACAGCTCCACATCACTGTATACGTACACGGAACTGCAAGGGCTTGCGTATTGTCCTATTTTTGTCTCGACAATGCAAATTTGAGACCTCTCAATAGTCGTTTCCGCTAGATAAATGTTCAAACTTGTGCGCAGGCTCCTATAGGTAGTCTACTTTTGCTTTTTTGTGTCATAATTAACAATATTCAGTAGCGTATGTTAGTTCAGACAATGCGGCAGCACGGTCGCATCACCATATTGCTTCTTTTGATCGCGAAATACTGCTGAATATTATTAATTATGACACAAAAAAGCAAAAGTAGGAGCTTGCATATAGGAGCTTGCGCACAAGTTCGAACATTTATCTAGCGGAAACGACTATTGAGAGGTCTCAAATTGCATTGTTGAGACAAAAATAGGACAATACGCAAGTCCTTGCAGTTCCGTGTACGTATACAGTGATGTGGAACTGTGTGAGTGCGTACGAGCTCATACAAGGCACGGGAGTCCCTTAATTTAGCGCGAATAGAAGCTACGCGGCAACGTAACCCTACTAACACTCTTGCCGCGGCTTGGCTACGAGCGGTTTTTCGCTGCGCGACTGCCAATTAGGACATAGGGAAGGGATAGAGGATTGAACTATAATATTAATTGACATTATCGACAGTGAATGATTCACGTTTTTATCCGTGGAAGAAGAGAGAAACAGATGACGCTGTCGTCGTCGCGCACGGAAACCTTAACGTCGAGACAATGTTTCAAAATTATTGCAAGTGGTAAAATTGAAAACTAATGTCCCACAATCCCTCGACATGCTCATCATTAATTACTTCGAAGCGATGACACCGCGTGGTGCGCCGGAAGTCGATGCCAGAGTTTGCTGACGGAGAAGGGAAACATCGACGTGGATGGCACGTAACCTAGTTAACACTTTACTCGTTTTCTTTGTGTACTTTATGGGGGTTGATAAAAGAGGGGCAAAATGACGCGAACACGTGTGAAATACTGCGTTATTGATAGGGGTTGGGGGTGCCGCTTGCTTTTAACGAGGCTTGTATATTTCTTGTGGTAGGTTCATGCTATTTTTATATAGTTATATAATGAATTGATTATCGTGCAATCGACTGAATCATCCCTTTTCTCTTCCCTCAATTATTCAATCAACGTCTCACGATTTTCCAAGTATCCTCCTGCACTAATACACCTCTTGTTCAATAGTTGAAAACAAAGACTCCAAGCAAAGATTCCGTATTATTTTATCGAGTCCTTGTAGACCTCATGAACGTCGATTCGTGGTTTTGCTCGAGTATCGTGTCGATAGAAAGATTAAAACAATTACCGCCGTTGCGATCCCCCGTTATCAGGAATCGAAACGAGCATGCTGCGCGAACACTTTCTCCCCGACTTCCATCGGTAATCAGCAGCAGGACAATCGTAACCAGCCGACGATTAGAAAGCCGAAAGAGAACTGCGACCTGAGAAAGTGCAAGTACGCCAAATCCCAAGCGGAGGCCTCGTACTGTAACACTCAGAGGCTCCTGGACAAGATTCAGAGCTTGAAGAAGAGCATCCAGAACTTGGAGACCGCCCAGTCGAGCATCAAACAGGTGAAAACCATTAATTAAGAAGATATAACGAAGTCTAAATAGATATTTTTGAGTGCAGGAAAGCAGTAAAACGAAGGACGTCCTCAGTCAAACCGAAGAGCAAAAGGTGACTGACTTGAACAGTGCCAGGGAAGTCTTGAACAACTGTATAAGACAGATGACGAAGTTGAAAGCGTTTTTGGAGGACGAGAATTGTTGGTGGAGGATGTTCAAGAACATGGAGTTCGATTGCTGCGACCAGAAGCTGCCTCATCTTCACGGATACTTGGATGGGACTATGGTTACGTTGAAGATGTTGGAGGAAAAGCTCGACGTGAGTAGCCCGAATACAACTGCGCAAAATCTGTTCCTTCTTCGAATAATTCGACTTAATATTTCTATTTCAGACTGACGATAATTTCAAAACTTCAACGCCCACGAAATCGAACTCCATAACGTTTACGAACCCTAAAGTAGCATCTGGCCAGAGGAGGGAGTACGAAGAATATTGCACGAACAATTTAGAGAACAACAGGACAAAATTTAAGGACTCTGGCATTGGGCCAAGTCTGAGCTTCCAATTAGGTCGTTCAAAGTAGGTGTTCCTAAGTTACAGAAACCTCCCTACTTCGTCTTCTGTGAAATTTATTTTTTTTTAGAAGCCACGAGTCTTGCCAACGACACTGTCCCTTTTCCTGTACGCCCGAAAATCCACGATGTAATAACCTTGCTACCAAGAACGAAGCTACGATCGATCCGGAGTCTCCAGATGCCGAAGACATAGTGGAAAGGTTCAAGGGGACGGTGCCTAGGCTCAGTTCTATGGGTAAGTTCGAATAATCTGTATGTTTTGAGCATCTTGAGTTTTTGAAAATGTTCTTTTCAGTCAAGCTACCGAACGAAACGCATGCTGGAATGAACTCGGCTGGTCGCAGGGACAAGTCGAGACTCAGGGCAACGTTCAGCAGTGAGAACACAGCAGGCAGGAAGATTAGCGTTGCTGACATTAGCACTTCGATGGATTTGATCCTGGTACAGTTCTGGATGACTGTTAACAAATTATATTGTAGGACGGAGAATTAATTTCCATTGAGTTCAGGTTGAGATTCCATAGGATTTCAGTGGGAATTATGTCGAAGCAGTCTTAGTACTCTTAATAATTTCTTGAGAAAGAAACTGTATGTAAAAGTATTTAAAATTAATGTTTTCCAGAAGGAGCCCTCCACGAACACCGGAGCTTCGACCCAGGGTCTGAGGGGAACGGCTTTGAAAATCTTCGCGCTCAGGTCCAGTAGGACGAACACGAGGAACGAGAAGCCTAGGAGCAAAGAAACCGAAACGCAAATATAAGTTTTATAAAATGAAACTATGAGAAAAATAAAAACAGTTGACGTTCGTTGTGTTTCAATGGTGCGAGCCCTGTACAATCGAGAGACAACATTCGTTCCACTTTGACGGGCAAATTTTAGTTGAATTATTACACGCATTACACCATGTTACCGTTTCGATTCACACGTATAATTGGATAATCTTCGTCGCAAGCTTTCGAAAGGCTTCCGAGCTTTGAGAAAGATATGGAGAAGAGTACGAGTACCGAGGATGGACGAGGTTAGGATAGAAACGTTGTGTTATTTCTGAATCCATGTTCACGTCTTGTGCTGTGTTCAATTCAAATTTCCAATTAAATTCAAACACTTGTGTCGTGTTCGTTAATTTTAATCTAATTAAAATTGAACAAAAACGCCAAAAAGTGTACACAGTAAGTGGTATATTTAATGAATTACGAACTTTTTAAATTACGACGTAGGAGTATGAAATGGAACGAACTATCATAGTGGCAAGATGTTCCACGCTCGCAGGTAACGACAGAATCAAGACAGGCACCAGAACAATGCTGATAGTCCGTGAAAACGCGCTAATTCGATCCCCCCTGCCGTCCTCTGCCAGCTCCTTTCAAAGCATATTTTCAATTCAAAGTGATTATTGATACTCCAGAGGTAGTACAATTGTATAAAATTAAAAACTAGAGTCGAAGAGTCGACGAACTACTCGCTCCACTCGAAGCAGATTCCCGAGATGAATGAAATGGAAGACAACGAGAAAATAGAAGGCTCGAAAAGAAGAAGTGGCGAAATAAGCGGTCAAGTTCGCGGACAAAGGGGCTGATCTCGTTAAACAGGGGAATGCACGAAGGGGCGAACAACGACGAAGAAACGAACTCGAGAGAAATCCTGAAAAGCCGCCAATCGACGGAGAAAGAGGCGAACGAACAAAAATCGGCTACTTTGTTCGACGTGAATGCCTGCCAGCGGATGTCTACCGGTGATCCAGAGGCTGTCAGGCAATTATCCAACGCAGAGGAACCCGAGGCGAAATATTGCAGCGATGGAAACACGGAGAATTCTACGGTAGCGAAATCTCAGGGTTGCTCCAAATCCTGCGCCGGGATCAAACACCAGGACGCTCCGAGGTGCGTCGTTTCACATCCTTGGATGTAAGAAACTTTCAAAAAAGCTCACAGAATACGTTACTCGATGCTTCAGCTTCAAAGTGACGGTGTGCACCTCGAGGAAAAGGGGCAAACGGGCAGGCAGACTGAAAAGAAGCAAGAGGAAAATCAAGCAAATCTCTAATCAGGTGAAGGTGAGCTCACCTTTTTAAAAATTTCTTGTGAACATTTTTTGAAGTCATACAGGATCGAGCAGTAATGATAGCACCTCAGATATCTGTTGTTTCTGTTAATCTAAATATAAAGATCTTGTTACAAGTTCGCAGCCAGCTTCTAATAAGATCTTTAAAATTAGGCTAGCAGGGACAACAGATATCTGAGATGCTAATAGTTAATAGTAATTGCCCCCTCCCTCTGTATACAGTTAAATATCATAAATAAAATTAAAAACAAAATTAAATATCTCTTACAACATTAAAACCAATCGCAATTATACTTTGAATATGCACCAATGCACTCAACTCCTTGAAGTACCTTGCACATCGATTTTTTTTTATTTTATTTTCTGATTCTACAATTCTAAAGAAAAGAACGAAGAAGTCTCTGAAGAGGATCCAAGAAATTTACAGGAACTTCCGCGCGAAGAGGGCCATGGGTTTCAAGTGCGACCTCAGGCGTTGCGAGAGCACCGTACTGAAATGCAGCACGACCTCCTGCGTGAAGCCTGACATGCTTTTCAGCAAATTTTACAAGGAAAACCCTAGGAAAGGCACCGGAGAAAGGCGTTTCACGATATGCTGCTCGACGGTGCGCGATACGGGAACGACGACGACCAATTTGGATGCTAACTATGGTCGCGCAACGAAGCACGAGAACGATAAGTCGACGGGAACGGTGGAGGACAAGGAAACTAACACGTAAACGATAGCGGAGTGACTAGGATCCAATTATCAATTTTTAAATTCGAGTGACAACACTTTTACTAACTGTACGAGTCATTTTTAATATATATACTGCGGTTCGTGCAAATTCATATTTTTGCAGGTATAGATAAAGAAATGAAATTTAAATGGAAGTATCACTTATTTTTTAATCAGTGTAACATATATTCTATATGTTTTCGAGGCAGTCTAGTAAGACTTTTAAGATTTATTATTTTCTCGCACTATTATAACGATTGGAAACTCTTGATAAAGTATCGCATAAAATTTCTCAAGAATTATGAAATAAACATGTTCCCAAGTCGTGGACTAAAATCCTAGATCCTGATTTGCCCTAAAAATGTAAAAGTGATTCTTTCTAACGACCCAAGTGAAATTTCTATCGCCACGTTATGTACCCAACGGAACAACAAATCAAATACTCCTCGTAATGAAAACTCAAGCGCGTTTACCTTATCCGATAGTTTAAATCTCGCCAGCCGCAGCCACGTGTTAATAACTCAGCCGTCCAATCTCGGGCAATTTCAACGAACCGAAGCGACTAGAGAAAGACAAAGTAAAGAAACGAAAAGCCCCAGAAAAAAAGCATAAAGAGTGTATAAGAACCGTCTGAAATTACCTTACGACACGCCAGGGGAGCAATTTCCAGGCAAAGAGTCCCAGCAGCGTTAATAAAGTGACTCTTACTCCGTCCATTTCCGGCCATCTTCGCCTCTTAGCGTTTCTGCCATTCGTTGCTCATTACATATTTAGCCCCGCGTCGGTAATAAGCGATCGTCCCAGGGGATCGGGTGATCAGCAGGGAATCAATTTGTCGGCGGAAAGTCGGCGAGATTGACGAGCCAGATAATCGCGGATCGCGCCGAGCGAATATCGCCAAGAGAGTTCTTCTCCTCGCTCGATGATTCGATAATTCGAGCTGGAACTCGACGAACGCGAACCGAAAAATAAACCGACGCGAGGCGAAGGATGGGTTACCTGGGCATCTCCCGTTTGGTCACGTGGGCGCTAAGCAGCGATACATCACACCGCTCGGTATTCACCCAGGCAAATCGACTTTTATCGCTTTATACCGCTTGTAAGCGGGTTCGCGCTCCGTTCTCCGAGGCCCCGCGTGTAATCTGGATGTAAGGAGCTCGTTATTACCAACGCTCCATTCACCGCCCGGACTTCCATTTAACGATGCAACTACGCCCGTAATGGCCGGTTCCTTGGACGGATTAGTATCATTGATGACGTTGTCGGTTTGTATTCTTTTTTTTTAGGAGAGCTGTAGCTGAAACCCAGGCTCCTAGCTTTTTTTGGGCAATCGGTTAGAAAGAGTTACTCTGATGTTACATTAGTTGAAAGAAGATTACGGTTGAAAGTGAGTACATTTTATTTATTAAATAGGAACCTAAAGAGGTCCTGGATCCAAACTTAAGTCGTTAGATATTTTTCAACGAAATTCAAACTTAAAATTTCCAGCATCTCTACTTAATAAATTTCACCGTCTCACAGTACTAAACGGTTCTCCAACATGGCGAACCCTCGCGTGCTTCTTTCTGCCAAGCCGTCATCGTAACCGCTCAATCCGCATGATTAACCTTCGACAGACCCCGTCGAGGACAATTTTCCACGATCGCGAGTTCATTTCCGAGTACCCTCTTCTGGTACGCGTATCACGGAACAGGCACGCGCTCGTACATGCGCAAATCTACTCACACGAACGCTCGGTGACGGAGCAGCGCATGAATGGCGTGTTTTCCTTATTGGTTGATTGAATAATACATGTAACCGAATAGTATTAGACCGGTCGAGCGCGACACGCGATGCCCATGACGCCTGTCATGTCGTGCGGGTCACGTGTCAGGATTTTGACGAGTTGTTTAGGTTGGCCGATTTATCGATCGAGGTGCAGCGAGTTCTCGGCTCGGTAAGTACTTTATAAGCTGTTCCCCACCTCTCAACTGAACGATTAATGACACAGACGGAGATAAGGGTTGTCCAGGATTTATGGGGGATTTTCTTTGACGATAAATTATATTCCGCGAAACGATCGTCGGATTTCAAGGCCGATCGACCGACCGGAGTTACTCGTTTCGTGGCTTCGGCAGTCGAGGACTGGTTCACGGATTTCTGAAGCGTTTCTCTTAGTTGGCGATTCCTGTTGAATTATGATTCATGTCGGATGGAGCAATGTTTAATTGAATTACTGTCCGACATGCCACAGAGGAAACGTTTACTACTAATACTTCAGAAGTATGAACGTTTTCTTAACTGTCTTGAGAAAAAGAAAGAAGATGAAGAAATAAATTCTTGGACATTCTTGGAATTTTATATCCGTGGAAACTCACTCGATAATTAATTGAATCTATCCTATCAATTTTCTCGATTCCCACAGTTAGTTCCGAGGATACGATCGACCAATTGTATTTCCGAGGCCTAAAATAAAATCCACGCGAAAGGAAGAGGGTCGTTTCTGGCTTCGAGGAGAACAAGGAAGGTGGTTCCTGGACACGGGGCAGGCCAAGAGCCCCGGCATAAATCACAATGAAGCGCACGCCTCATTATACTTGCAGGCACTCGTGTAATTGCGACGGGCGTGTCTACGTGTATTTACCCGTGGAGATCCGACGTTTCGGAGTCCGCCAACTCGCGACCGTGCGCCTCGTGTCTCTTTTTCCCATCCGAGAGAGCTACAGCCGCCTCGAATCCGGTGATTTCCGCTGCCAGGAAGTACCCAAGCCGGATATGGGCGTAACACGTGGCACGGGGGTTAAAAACCGACCAATTATGCTCAATTGTACTCAACGTGACCTATCTCCTGAGTCTCATTTTTCATCATACTTTATTCTGTAAAACCACCCTTTAATACGTTGGCTGCCAAGCTAAAATTCGTGAAAAAAATATACGAAGTTAAAATTTTGTCTCGAGACTATCGAAGATTAGATAATTTAACATCTGTCGTGGTATCTAAT